GAGGGAAGAGCGCCGGCAGGTGTGGAGGGAAGAGCCCCCGCGGTGGCCGGGGAAGAAGTGCATGCCTGGGCGGACATTGCTAGAGAAGATGGCCCCGCCCAAAACACCCACAACCGCAGTGCAGCAACTGCAGTGCAGCCTCGCTGGTGGCGGGGCCGGCAGATTCCACTGTCCTCCCATTGAGGGCGCCTGGACCCCCTGATGAGCATGACAATCAGCCTCTCCAGTATTGGCCCTTTGCCACTAGTGACCTTTATAATTGGCGCACACAACACGCCAAGTTTTCTGACAATTCCAGGGATCTAATCCAATTGTTGGAAACTGTTTTGTTCACCCACCAGCCCACTCGAAATGACTGTCAGCAGCTCCTCCAGATCCTGTTCACGATGGAAGAGCGTGAAAGGATTCAGAACGAGGCCAGGAAATTGGTTCCTGGTGACAATAACCAACTTTGATACTATTAACCTTTCCTTCCCGTTGCCCCGGCCCGAGTGGGACTTCAGCACAGCAGAAGGTAAGGAGAGACTCCCGGGTCTACCACCAGACTCTGTTGGGAGATCTCAAGGTGGCTACTTGTAAGCACACCAATTTGGCCAAGATAGGGGATGTACAACAGGGACCAAACAAAAGCCCTGCAGCCTTCCTAAAAAGAATTCAGGAAGCCTTCCGTAGGTATACTCCTATAGATCCAAAAACAATTAAGACAGCTGTAGTAATGCATTTCGTCAACCAAGCGGCGCCAGATATTAGGAAAAAGTTACAGAAAGTAGACAGACTGGGAGAGAAGAGTATTCAGGACATAGTGGCAGAAACAGAGAGACTGCAGAAGAAAGACAAAGGCTGATGATCAGCAAACTAGGAACCTAGCTTGGATCCTTCTTGCCACCACTACGGGAGAGCCAAAGGAACGTGAACGTCGACTGAGAAATATTGCGGCAAAAGGACAAGGTAAGGGGGAACGTAGGGATCGCCCCCAATTAAAAAAAAGGAACCAGTGTGCTTATTGCAAAAAAAAAAAAAAAAGCTACTAGGCCAGAAAATGCCCTAAGAAGCCGGAAAGCCGCCTCCAAAGCTCCCAATTGACTCTGTTACAATACATAGATGATCTCCTTATAACAGCTGAGATGCAAGAGGACTGCCTAGATGGAACCAAGAAACTCTTAACGGTTATAGGGAAACTGAGATACCGGGCATCTGCCAAAAAGGTCCAAATCTGCAAACCTGAGGTAAGCTACCTGGGATACATACTTAAAAAGGGACAAAGATGGCTATCCGATGCTAGAAAAGAGACAGTTCTTAAGATACCTACACCAGACTCTCCTCAAAAAGTTAGAAAATTCCTAGGATTGGCTGGCTTCTGCCGCTTATGGATACCGGGGTTCGTGGAACTTGCGAGGCCCCTTTATGAGATAACTAAAAACAGGCCTTTCGATGGACAGAAAAACTACAGAAGTCCTTTGATCAAGTTAAGGCTGCTTTGTTGTCACCGCCAGCCTTAGGCTTGCCTGATGTCACTAAGCCCTTCTACCTTTACATTGATGAAAACAAAGGAGTCGCCAAGGGCGTCCTGGTCCAGTATCTGGGCCCATGGCGCCAACCAGTAACATACCTGTCCAAGAAACTTGATCCTGTTGCAGCTAGATGGCCCCCCATGCCTGAAGATGATCGCTGCCGTAGCCTTGATGGTCAAAGACGCTGATAAGTTGACCTTGGGCCAGGAACTACATGTGACCACCCCCCATGCCATTGAAGGGGTTCTAAAACAGCCTCCAGATAGATGGCTCAACAATGCCCACCTAACCCACTATCAGGGCCTGCTCTTAAACCCAACCCGAGTTGTCTTCCAGACCCCGGCCGCCCTCAACCCGGCTACTTTATTGCCTGACCCAGACCTAGAGGCCCCACTGCATGACTGTGCTGACATCTTGGCTCAAGCACACGGGACCCGAGAGGATCTGAAAGATCAACAATGGCCAGATGCTAAAGATACCTGGTACACCGATGGAAACAGTTTTGTTCAAGATGGCTGAAGGTATGCCGGGGCAGCTGTGATCACTGAGACTGAGGCCGTTTGGGCTGAACCCTTGCCCACTGGAATGTCAACACAGCGAGCAGAGCTCATAACATTGACCAAGGCACTGACTCTGGGAAAGGGCTGAAAGCTAAACATATACACAGACAGCAGGTATGCTTTTGCCACTGCTCACGTACATGGGGCCATCTACAGAGAAAGAGGACTGTTGACAGCTAAAGAAAAGACTATTAAAAACAAAAAAAAA